AATCTTAGAGCACGGTCATATCATGTTTATTTGACGTATATGTATACAATATATATATACAAATTGCGAAGAACAATTTTTTTCTTTCCAATCCATTCAAAATTGTATATTATGTTTTCATTCCGTTTTAGGTGTTGTTTATCTTATGTATAATAATCTTAGAGCACTTTCAGATCATGTTTATCTTACGTATATATACAGTATATATATATATATATATACAAATCACGAAGAACTGTCAGATCATGTTTATCTAACGTATATATACGATATATATATACAAATTGCAAAGAACATTTTTTTTCTTTACAATCCATAAATTCTAGGCTTTAGATTTGTGCAAAATTGAAATATTTGAGTTTACTGTGTGTTGGTGGTTCATTTTTGGCTGAATTAACATGCACAAAATATACTACAATTATCTAAAATAACTAGATTCGTAAAAAAAATACACAACATATACTTTCGTTTCACCATAATTTATGTTGGGTTTCAGTATACACAACATATACTTTAGTTAAAAATAACAATTACCCTAATTGGAACAAGAAAAAGGCACAAGAAATAAGCTAATTTAATAATTAATGGACAAAAGAAAATTACACCAAGCCATATACAGAGAATCTTCAAAGACCAATAAGGCATACGGTTGCCTACGGACAATAACCAAGATATCCTTACAATACTGCACTGCACTTTTGTTTGGAAATCATTGTCCGACCACTATATTAAACCTTAAGTACTCATAGACCAATTCGATACATCCTCTGTGTTTGTTTATCTCACATATATCTTCCGTATATTTTCGTCGTTACAACCACAAAATCTGCAATGTCATCGACCACTTCGAAACATCATCTGTGTTTGTTTATCTCACGTATATCTTCCATATAGTTTGTCGTTACAACCACAATATCTGCAACATCATCGACCACTTCGATACATCCTCTGTGTTTGTTTATCTCACGTATATCTTCCGTATATTTGGTCGTTACAACCACAATATCTGCAACATCATCGGCCAGTTCGATACATCCTCTGTGTTTGTTTATCTCATGTATATCTTCCGTATAGTATGTCGTTCCAACCACAATATCTGCAACATCATCGACCACTTCGATACATCCTCTGTGTTTGTTTATCTCACGTATATCTTCCGTATATTTTGTCGTTACAACCACAATATATGCAACATCATCGACCACTTCTATACATCCTCAATGTTGGTTTATCTCACGTATATCTTCCGTATATTTTGTCGTTTCAACCACAATATCTGCAACATGCTCAATGAATCATAAGAAATATCCTACACGATTATTTTATGATGGTTCACCTCCCCATTGCATACATCTTAATGGGTAATATTGCATTCATATGCCATTGAAATGGATAAACATTATTAGTTCAGACATATTTCTACATGTATAGATAAAAAATACCTAGGTCACATCAAACACACACAAAAAAATATAAATAAATAAACAAACTCAGAATTTGAAAATACCTTCAATTTTCTTGTGCGCATCAAATGATTTGTTGGGTCAACTGAATTTTTTTGATTTCCAATCCCAAATCGTGATATTGAGAGAGAGAGAGAGAAAGAGAGAGAGAGAGAGAGAGAGAGAGAGAGATCGACGGGAGCGT